AAAATATTTTATAGAACACCGACAAATATGTATAACGTACCGTGAAGAAGAGTATAGAGACTTCCGGTAGGGTAGTAATCATAGACCATAAGCTTCTCTTCCTTGGAACACACGTAAGCCCTTAAAGGGGCAACGTTCTCGTGCCTAATGTTTCCAACGATCTCCATTTGATGTTTGAAATCCTTCCGCGACACCACGACATCCTTCACTCGCTTAACCGCGACGACTTTGGAATCTTCTAGAATCGCTTTATACGTCATCCCGAAACTTCCCTTCCCAAGAAATTCAGCAGAAGCTTTCAACAAGTCTTCCAAGTTAAAAGCAAGATTGCTTCCTTCAAAGAATATTACTCTGTTAATTTCGCTCTTGTCTTCCATGTCTTCTATATTCTTCTCTTTTCCTAATTTAGAAACTTCCTTCACACTTGGTAGCTTCTGTGGATTTGCCTTTGCCGGCTTCAACTTCTCTGGTTTTGTCTCTGTTTCTGTTGCTTGCCTCCTCTTCCTCTTCACATAGCAAATGATTATCAGAACCGCGATTAGGAAAAATATCACGAAGCAACCCCCAATCGCTATCCCGAGAACCGCGGGCTCTGAAAGATAGATCCCACGTTTCTCCTTTGGTTTCTCTTCCGGTGAAGCCATCGGAGGAGGGACATTTTCGTAAATTAAGTTGTTGCCGGAAAAAGCCGAGTTCCCGAATCTTTCCAGAGACTTTGGGATTAATCCGGTGAGCTTGTTGTTGGAAAAGTTAAGTCTGCGTAGACCGGAGAGATTAAGATCCGGAATCTCACCGGAAAACGAGTTCTGAGCCAAGTTAAGCGAGACTAGTCCGGTCAGATTAGCAAATCCCGCTGGAATACTACCGTTAAACCGGTTACCGAACAGATCAAGAACGGCGAGATTCGTCCACGTGGCGTAATCGGACGGTAGTGGACCGGAGAATCTGTTGTTGCTGAGACTAATCGCTTTGAGTTTCTTGAGCTGCAAGAAATCAATTGGGAACGGACCTTGTAAGCCGTTGGATCGGAGACTGAGGATCTGAAGCTCCGATAGACGGCCGATAGTTCCCGAAGGGATTACTCCAAGAAGACTTGCTCCGGGCAAGTGAAGGGCGGTGACACGTGTGCCGTCTTTATCGCACGTGACGCCTGGCCACGTGGCGCATACAGGGCTGCTTGCGTTCCAAGCTAGAGACCGCGTGTGAGTTATGTTGTTGAGGAAGTCGAGAAGGGCTTGTCTGTCGCCGGCGAGGTCACCGGTGACCAGAGGAAGCAGAGCCGTTGATCCAAAGAAGAGAAGTAAAAGAGAGTAGAAGATGGAAAATCGTTTACTCATCTTTTTTTTTTTTAAGAGGAAGAATTATCAAATCAGTTTTTCTGGCGAATGATGTGATTTATGTGATGGAGACTTGGTTTTATCTGCATTATAGATATGTAAGAATAAGGATTTGTTATTATTTGTTGACATAGTGTAAGAATAAAGATATCTAGTTAGAGATGCACAAATGTTAATCAATGATATTATTTGATGAGAAATGTAAATTGTAACGAGTTTCCAAAGAAAGACATTCATATATTTTCCTCCAATATTATGTTTTATTTTATAACTAATTTCATCTGTCAAATCAAAGTCTATGCACTAGGCCTGACATGATTCTGAACTAAAAACAAAAAAAAACCAAGCATTCTTCAGACAAAATTGGAAAGAAATTATTATAAAAAAAAAACTTACAGTTCAAATGCGGAATGTCATCAACGACTGGCTGAAATTTCCAGTTTTATTTCATTT